GTGTATTATTCCAGCTAACTTCTAATTGAATCTTAACTCAGCGGTCGCTGTGAACTGAGATGCTGTTGACATTTGGAATGTTCCCACTCAGATGGTAAACAAACACACTTCTTCTTACACAACTTTCAAAAGTGTCAAACATTTGCACGATTGGAAATTGTAGCGCTCCCACTTTTTCTCCCCCCTCCCCGCCCCCCCCAGCACTTAATTCTTTGAATTTCTTTGTAACGTAGGCTTCACACATATCAACATGTGTTACATATTTGCAGGAATTAGAATTGATCCAGGACCTAATTGATTCATGTAGCCAGAAAACAGTTGTTCATCTCCATTTACATCACTATTATTAAATCTTCAAATCTATCTGAGCTAACATTTAATAGTCCCCTCATCAAGTATCTGTTTAATTCCCTTTTACAAAAAAATAATCTATTGGACTCGACCTCAACAGAGGCTTGTGACAGAGAATTCCACATTCCAACTCCCCTCGGGAAAGAATATTTTCCTAACCTCCCCTTTAATTCGTTTTGTGAGTTAACTTAAACGTGTGTCCTCTCATCACCAATTTATAGGTGTCAACCTGGCTAAGCTGGTAGCAATCTCACTCTCAACTCACTTCTAGGTTCAAGCACCATGCTGGGACTTTTAGCTCATAGTCTTGGTTGACACTTGAGTGCAGTGCTGGGGAGTGCTGTATTGTTGGAGGTGCTGTCCTTTGGATAAGACATAAAACTGAGGTCCTAGTTGCTTGTTCAAGTGGTAGTTAAAGATGCAATGACACTATTTGAAAGAGAAGGGAATGTGCAGGCCAGCAATCTCCAGATAAAGTTGGTCATTCACTTTATGGCTATCTGTGGGACATTACTGTACACAAATTGGCTGCGGCATTCATCTACAAATAGTCACTACGCTTTACAGTAAATCTTGTGAAGTGCTTTGAGACATCTTGGTGACGTGATGAGGTACTATATCAAATGCAAGGATTATTAATTAGTATTATACTCTTTCACCCCACCATCTGCGATTGGGCCTTCAGCCTCTCTGCCCCCACTCTTTGAAACTCCATCCCACAGTCCCTACACCTTGCTCCCTCCCTTGTCTCCTTCAAGGCACTTTCCAAGATCCTCTTCTTCGACTGCGCCTTCTGTCAACCCCCTACCCTCTCTGCCTTCCACCTCTCCTGATCCCAAACCCCTGCTCGGTTCAAAATCCCTGACCTTGGGACGTCCTCCCGATGTGAAAGGCACTATACGAATGTATTTTGTTATAATTTGGATAGAAAGAACAGGTTTTATATTACTTCATTATATCAAAAACATCACCAACACCAAAAAAAAAATCATATTGTATCGTGGGGTGGTGTCTCGGAGCACCTAGCAGTGGCAGGAGGCGACCCTAGGCACGGTTGAAGAGAAAGATCTTCTGGTTTGATCTAGGTACTGGGAAGGCAGAGTACTAGAGGCAGAAAGTTCCATAATTTGGGGGTGTGGTGGCTGATGTCACGGCTGCTGATGTTGTAGTGGAGGGCATGAGGGATGTGCAGGAGGTAGAGCCATCTGAGCGAAGGTGGTGGAGTGGGAAGTTGGCAGGTGTCAGGGCACGTGGGATTTGTACATGAGTGTGAGGATCTTTACATTGATCCATTCTGTAATAGGGAGCCAGTGGAGCCTGGCAAGGTCTGGGATGCTGGGGTATACTTTTGTGGGAGTAAGGATACCGGCGGCGAAGTTTGAATTGATTCGATTTTATCAATGGTGGAGCTGGGGAAGACTAGCGAGGAGGACATTGAAATAATCTCTAGCCACTTGGAGGTAATTGCAGTCTGATATAGTCATTATTATGTGGGAAAACACAATAGCTGCTCCCACAAATAGCCATTAGGTAAATTAATCTGGAGAATTGTTAAACAGGACAGTGTCATGCTAAATTCCAAGCAATGCAAAACTGTTTGAAAGTTGTGGAATTTACCTGTAAAAATGGAGAATGGAGGTTATGACTGAAAAGCAGAAAACTCATTTTTAAATTTGGAAAAGAAAAGTTTAGAATGAGTAAAAGATAAATAAAATGTTGTTTAGTTTGGTGGGTTACATCATACAACGTATCTTTAGTTTCTAAGATTCTGTACACTTGAACAATACAGACACTTATGGGACAGAACAGGAAATTAGATTAGATAGGTCCAGTCGGGAGTCAACGTGGCATAGACTAGATGCACTTAATAACTTCCTTGTGTGGTGAAATTTTAGATTCATTTGTTCAACAGGAAGAAAGGAATAAACTGTGTCCTTACAATGTAGACCAGTCACTTTAACCCTTGTCTTCAAATCCCTCCACTCCTCTGCACCCCCCTACCTCTCTGACCTCCTCTCTTCTCACAACAGTGCCCGTTGCCTTTGTTCCTCCGGGTCTGGCCTCCTCCTTGTCCCCCGAGTCCTCTGCTCCACCCTCAGTAGCCGTGCCTTCAGCCACTATGCCCCGAGACTCTGGAACTCCCTTCCTCACTCCCTTCGCCTCGCCCCCTCTCTTCCTATTTTCAGGTCTCGGTTGAAGACCTTTCTTTTCGACTGCGCCTTTGGTCACCTTCCTCCCCCTCCCCCTGGCTCGGTCCCGGGATCCATTACTGTCAAGCGCTCTGAGATGCCATCCAGCGTGGAGGGCGCTATATAAATCCAAGTTGTTGTTGTTTAACGTCAGTAGTGCATAAACTTTTAGAAGCCATGATGTTAGATAACATTAATAATTTAGAGAGGCATGGGTTAATTGAAGATGGCTGGCCCAGATTTATAAAAACTGGATAAATTGTAATAGTTATTGAGGAAATAACAGTATTGATAAAGGTACAAAGTATTGATCAAGAGACTTCAGTGGATTCAATACAATTTACATTTATATAGCCCCTTTTATAGTTTTGAGATGTATCAAAATCCATTATCAAGAGTTTTTGACACTTCTGAAACCATTGATAGTGCTGGCTGGGTACTCAAGCTGGGATTGGGAGCTGAAGGAGCTGGGAGTGGAAAAATGATCAAAAGCACAGTCAAAAGAGGTACATGTTGAGATGGGCCTTTATTTTTTGATCTGCTGGGTGTCTGACACATGCGGAAACCCATCACCACGTTTAAGACTATCGAAACCAAATAATTCCATGCATTCCACCTACACATTGAAATTCCCTTTATTGGAATGGAACCTGTCTCTGGATGGACCCATCCTGATGACCTAATTTCAGAGTATTAGTTGTAGGCTGGCAAGACCCAAGGTTTTGCTCCTAATGCCTCCAAAATGAACTTGTTCTCCAAGCAGTTCTGCAGTCACATTTAGAGGGTCCTGATCATCTCCGAGACTTTCTTTACTGAGAGGGTAATCAATGATTGGAACAGGTTGCCAGGAAAGGTGGTTAAAACTAGGAGACTGGACTTGTTTAAAACGGAGCTTAATGTTGTGGTGGGGGAGTGGTAGAGTGGATGTTCTAAAAGGATGAGACCGGATGGGACAAAGGGTCTTCTTCATCTAAACCAATAATGTGAACCACTTTCCACCATAATCCATATGTTGGAGTTATTCGACCTGTTCATTGGAGAATCAAAACAATGATTATTTTTCTTTGATCTAAATAGGATGACTTAGCACAAATTAAATTTGTACTATTCCTTTAATCATTGCTAACTGATATTCTCTAAACTGCAGAAATCATTTTGTCATCAATTGTGACATTACAATTTCTGCAATTTTCAGTCACTGTTGCCATTTGCCAGACGTCCTGTAGCTCAGTGGTTAGAGCACTCGCCTTGCAAGCAAGACACCTGAGTTCAATTCCAGGCAGGGTGAAACCTTGGGCAAGTTTCCTTACTCCACACAGAGCCTAATAATAATCCCTCAAAAAAAACAATAATAAATTGGTCATTTTCAATCCACGACTGTTTGTGGGACACTGCTGTGATTAATTGGCTGCCGCGTTTTGCCCACAAATATACGGTCAATTCACTTTACAGTTTATTCTGTGAAGCTCTTTGAGACGCAGAGAAGGCGTGAAAAGCGCTATATCAAGTACAAGGATTATTATTATTATTTTCCCCCTTCTAATTTTGTTTAGCATTGAGATGTGGTGGTTGAGTGATGCCAAGATTCAAACAGAAGATTCTTTAAAATGATCAACAAATAAAATGAATGCTCATGGTATCAGCTTTTGATCAAAGCACATTGTACTTATTTCCACATGTATAAAGCATCAAAGGAACTCAATGTTATGTCTGCTGCACAATGCAAGTTTCTCACTAATTGCAGATAGTATGTGGTTATTTTCAGGGTTCAAAGTGTACTGGAAGCAGATGTTCTCCTAATATTTGGTACAATTGCCAATTAGATATGTGAGGTTCAGATATTTCCAAAGCAGCTTTGATTGAAGAGTTTAGTTCCAGTATTTTGTAAAACTAAAAACAATAGAGGCATTCAAATAAATTTCTAATGAATTCCAGGTTGATCTACTTTTATGACTACATCAAAAATACTTGGACTTTGTTTTGGACGTAGTGTTGTACTTTGGTGGAACAGATGTGTTGGAACTGACCGACATCTTAATTTTAGGGCAAGAATTTACCTAGGGAAGTGCATTGCAAATACAAATAAATTAATTGTCAACATTAAAAATGAATTTGCTACTATGTGGAATGGGGGCAGCTGACCTCCAGTACAAAAAGGAGTGGTTAGGTCACAGGCAATAGTAAATCTTGATGCTGACATCACTATTAGCCACATCTGCAGCTGTATAGATAATTAAGATAGACCACCTCCCCAGTGACATTCAGGGGTTTCCTCTGGGTGGGTCAACAAGGAAAACAAAACATTTTTGTGAGGCAGAGGCTGGGAATGTGTATAGTATTCCAGCCTTTTTATAGTAAGGGCAGAGTATTTGCTTGTGTTCAGGCTTGGGGGTGGAGGGGAATAAAAAGACTTTTGGTAACTATTCATTCATAGGGGGTTCAAAACAAGTTCTGAACATCATGCAAGTGGATGTGCTGGAAAATGCAAAAACTGGAGCAACAAGGACTGAGAAAATCCTGAAAGTTGCCCTTTTTGTTTTCATAGCCACTACGATAGTTCTCAGTGGTATTCTCGCACTCGGTAAGTAGTAAACAAGCACTGGAAATGCACTTTCTATTGCTTCAATTTTTAACTAGTTCACATCTGATTGTGAAGACATTAGAATTGAATCTTGTATTCTAAATGTGGCAAAAAGGTGACACTTTCTGATCACTCTTTGTTGTATGTGTTTTAGGAGATGTGTTGAAACTGTACTGAAGCTATAGTCGTGTTACTCTTGTGATTGTAGGGGAAGATTGTTATTTAAATGCTGCCTCAGTTTAAAATGGTCCTGCATAACACAGGAATTCTTTCGTACATATGGTTCGAAAGAAACTAATTTTACTGTTGTTGTGAATTAAATACTGTGTACTAATAATCCTTGCATTTGATATATGGCCTTTCATGTCAGGTGCACATCTCAACCTACTGTAAAGTGTAGTGACTATATTTTGTAGTCAAATTATAATTGCTTATCACACATGATGAATGGATATTCTCAGCTCATTCTATTCATTGCTAATTGTCTTTTAATTCCTAGCTTTTATAAAATATATAAGTGCTTGCAAATTCTTTCAGCACATTAGCTCAAATGTTTTATAAAACTACAAGTCAAATACGTTCATTGGAAAGCCCAATAGATTTTTTAAATTAGTACTTTGTGGTCCCACAAAACGTTTTTGTTTGTTACACTAAGGGTGGCAGCCTCCAGCTGTTTTACATTAAGGTCACGGCCATTTAACAAAACTGTTAGTAAAACATTATACATGGTTCTGTTGTGAACCAGAAATGAAGCAATCCTATTCATGGTAACCATTTTTAAACAGTTTTTTGCATTTTCCGATTTCATTAGGATATGACTTATAAATGTGTCTCAGACAATCAGTACTAGTCAATCAGGGACATAGCCCATAAACATCAGAGATAAACAACACAAATTAGGAGGTGCTCATACCGCTACTAACTTATCTTAAGTCCCAATGTATACAAACCCACCGCCCCAGAGGGGAGCTAGAACCAGCACAGAAACCACAGGCCAAACTATTACTATTTGATTCTGACTTTAACAAGAAAACAGAATTTCAAGCATGTGGATGCTAAAAGGGATTTGATTCTTGTGTTGCACCAGTTATCCATCTTTTTCATTTTTTGGCATTCTTCTTGGATATGGACCTACTTCAAAAAGTGCAGTATTTCTCATCAAATCTTGTTCTTTTGCTCTAAGATTTGGTTTTATGTCTCCAATTCATTACAAGGGGAATGATGCATTTTTGGAAGTGGTATCCTTCAGGTGAGATATAAAACCAAAGTCTTTCTGCCAGTTCTGGTGATTCGATGCCATGGTATTCTTTTCACCAAAATTGATTAATTGCTTATACACGTAATTATTTTATATTACTATTTCATTAAAATAATTCAATTGTTAGACTACCTCCAACAGGTACCCTCTCCAACATCAAGAAGAATGGGTACTCAGCAGTGTAAATGCTGTTGTTGTGAAGTAAGTTCTCAAGTTGTACAGAAACTCTGGTGTCTGCTATACTGACTGATTCTTCTCTTCTCAATCATTCCGAATTACACTGATAGTGACTGATCAGTGAGCAGAGCTCTACGCTTCTGCTTGAGAATGCAATGTGCACACAGGTTACATTACATGATAAAAAGGCAATGAATAACCGACTCCTTGCTGGACCTGCTGTGAAAATACAACAAACCTTGTACAGACGAGGAAAAACAAAATCAGCAACTAATGGAATTTTAAATCAACCATTTATTTCTAGCTTCTTGTTCATCCTTGCACAATTTAAAACCTCCCCATCCCACTCCCCGCCCCCAGGCTGGTCCAGTCAGCATTATCTGGCCTGAAATTGCACAGTGGGAGCACTCCCTCTTTCTTAAACTGTGCCATGTAGTTTTCTGGAACAATTCAGTGCTGGCATTTTTCAAAAAATCAATGTAAGTTGCCTTTAGCCATTGTTTGGATGAAACTATTTCCCATTGTACTTTTCTTTTCATTTTTTTCTGATCATGTATTCATTTACAGCTGGGAAAAACATTATAAAGCTTCATTCTGAAGAATACTGTGTGACTGCTGAATGCACTGAGGCTGGTAAGAAACTATTTCTGTTCTTCTTTCACAACAATTGTCAGAATTTTGAATTCACTATGCCAAAATCTTGTCAGGTTTTGTAGTAGAGATGAGTTTGGATGTACCAAATAATTACAGTGCAACCCCATTATAACCTACTTCATCATAGTGTGAAGTCACTTATAACCCAGTGCACTGTTCAATACACTGTTCAATACACGTTATTTTCATATTAACATTTGTTGTGCAGGACGTGGGGTTGGAAGGGACTAAATATCAAGAAGCTGACCATTTTTAGCTTCTCACGCTAAAAGAATGGCCAACCTCTGGATCACCAACAGTGTCACTTCCTGCTATGCACAACTTCAAAAGACAGTAAGTGGTATTGACAGTGACTTGATGAACCAGAAGTTGGCCAGTTTTCCTTTATGACCCAACTTGTATACGGGACATATGTGCAGTAAAACCCTCTATCTCGCATCACCATATAGGTAGGATTTTATGGATCCCAAACACGGGATTAAATAAGGCTTCAGTGTATTATTGAAGTGACTATTATTCAAGGCATTTTTGTGTGTGTGTACATCAAAGTGAGGGTTTGTCTGTGTTGGGGGAATGCTTTGCTTTTCACTGGTTAGCATTTCAGACAGAGTTATTATTTACAGACGGCTACAGGATGCATCTTATCTTCCTTTTTTAAAAAAAAACTAATTGGAAGAAACAAGTGTATTTGTGTTCGTTCCAGCTCTTTCTGTAATTCTGCAGTGCGGAACTTCAATCTCGCACTCCAGGTGGACTATGTGGAATGCTTTGAGGTGTCCTCCTGACATGAAAAGAGCAATATACATGTAAATTGTTGACAAGAAATTCAACCCTGCTGAGATTGTCTATCTTTCTATTTACAGCTGTTTTTATGTTTAACAATATCAACTGGTCTGCTGATCCATGTAACAACTTTTTTGAGTTTGCTTGTGGGAAGTGGCTGAAGGAGAATTCAATTCCTGATGAGTACTCAAGCTATGGAACATATAAAATGATTAGCAAGAGTGTCAAAATCATGCTGAAAGGTAGGCTCATTATATTACATATATATATTTCGACCCAATATGCGATTACACTGTGGGACAGTCATTCCAATTATTTTTAAAATACTATGCAGAATTAGTGTGACTGAGTTTCAAATGCCTTTTATCCACCTTACCTGTGCAATTTTCTTCGGTACCATGCCTCCAGTCACTCTCTCCACTTTACTAACACAAGCTAAGATCTTAGTTCCCGGTGTACATAAGCACAAAGGAAAAAAATCAGTGTAAATTTTATGAGTTTGCCATCTTGTTTATTGGCCCCATAGAATGATAACATTGTAGAATGTTACAGAATAGAAACGAGCCATGTACCCCACATCAGCTGATCTAATCCCGTTTTCTTGTTCGCTCCTCTTCAAGCAGCTACCCAATTTACTTTTTGTAAACAAAATATGGATTCTGCTTCAACTACAGTTTGTAGCAGAGAATCCCTCGTGCCAACCCCCCTCTCCACGAAGAAATATTTCTTAACATCCCTTTAATTCCTCTGGTGGTTATGTTCTGTTCATTGGGGGCCTGCCCTCTGTTTACTAGCTGTTCCATTATCTTTCCTGGTGTTTCCGGGGTTGGTGGCAGTCAGGTAAATTAAACATTGAGTGTCTGGGGCCAGCACCAAAACAGGAAATTCCTACTGGTAATTGTCAAGCTCTTGGACAATATAAACTGTCACCATTATTTCTGAAAAATGGAATGGAATGGACTACTGATCTTAACTAAGTGAAGTGTTATGAGATCATTACATCCATATCATAAATGTTCTAAAAGGAATTTATGACATTATTGTACATCGAGCACAGTAATCAATCGTTTTGAGCTAAACAATGTATATGGAGAACCGGAATATATTCTTTCTGATAGTCAGTAATTCACTGATTGGCTGAATAACTTAAGTCATTTCCATAACCATTTTCTAACATTGTTGCCAAAATTGAAGGGTAATGTATAAACCATGCAGAACTGATGGGTTATGCAATAAAATGCAGTGAATTTGACACAAACTCACTTGATAAGATGCAAAGCATGCAGAACCAATGGAATGTGACACAGTGTGTACTAAATCTGCCTTTCTATGTCAGGCCCTTCCCCCCCCCCCCAATCTCCCAGCTCAGGCTCCCATCCTATCTTTGTAAATAGCTTTGAAACATTCTTCTACGTGCAAGTCTAAGTGTAAGTGCAGATTGGTAGTGTTATGTGCGATAAATCAATCTAAGGAAAAGTTGTGAGATTCTAAATGTGTTTTCAATTTTAAAACTTTTTTCTTAATAATCCTTCTCAAAGCATTTGACTCATTTCCCTCATTAATTATTCAAGTATGAGCTTTGAAGGTGACAACTTGTAAACTGCAGTAGTTGAGCCCCGATTCTATACTCCCTCATCCAGTTGCTCGACCTTCAGCTAGGGTGACTGAACAGGAACCACGGCTGATTTCCCATCCTTAACATGGGATAGTCAGGCCAATTGTAGTGCCACTTTTCATACCAGGCTAAGATTCGTTAACTCAACATAGACTTGAGATTGCACTTCGGACTGTGTGGCTCAAACATTCGTTAAATAAATTTTCCGAGCTATTGGGGATCCCATCAACTTTTTTCATTATTATCATTTTACTTCAGAATTTAAACTTTTGTGACACTGGAATTTTGTAAATGTGGATAACGCCTTATTCTTTTCTCCCGATGTGAAATGCGCTATACAAATGTAATTTTGTATTGTATTTGTAATTCACCGTGCTGATCAGTTCAGTTGGTAGCACTCTCACCTCTGGGTCAAAAGGTTATGTGATCAAGCCTCAGTTGAGACTTGAGCTCACTAGGCTGACGCTAGCAGTACAAGGGGAGGTCTGCATTGTTGGAGATGCTGTTTTTCAGATGAAACTTTAAAACTAATGAACTAATGTTCTGTCTACATGTTCAGGTGGATATTAACAATAACATGAAGAAGGGAATTTATTCTGATGTTTGCCAAACAATCCTCTCGATAAATTGTTTTTTCATGTTTGGGCCCTTTGTGGACCTTTTTTGTGTACAAATTTGCCTTCGCATTTGCTTACAGATATAGTCACTTCGCCTGACAGTGATTGGGTGTGAAGTGCTTTGAGCAGTTTTAGATGTTATAGACCCAAGCACAAAGATTATTATTATTTTTGAAGCTCAATGCTTTCTAACTATTTACTGTATGCTCACAAATATAAAGTCAATTCACTTTACAGTATATTCTGTGAAGTGCTTTGAGACGTCTCGAAGATGTGAAATTTAAGGATTATTATTATTATAGTACTACCCAAACATGTCCATTCCAAACTTGTAATTGTTCATTTAAACATAGTTATTTAATAGTCGCAGACAGAGATCCATATTGCAGTATTTGAACTGTCGCACCAATATCCTATTGGTGCCTCATCCAAGTAAAATTCCTTCATGTGAGAGTGAACATCATTAGGAGGATTGGTACCAAGTTGGATGCTGTCACATCTGATGTCTAACAATGCATTAATTATCAAGCAAGGGCCAACAAATACTATCCAGATCATCAACACTTGTAGCATCACCAACCTACAGACTAGGAATAATTTTAACATGCCCTGAATGAGAACACTGAACATAGAACAAATCAGTAAATGAATTTGGTAGCTGTCTGCTCTATATAGGTCAGCACCACAACATGCAGCGTGCTTGCACACTGAGGAATTTGGCTCTTGTTAAATTATTTTCAGCGATTTCGTGAAATATTTGAAGAATTCTGTTCCCTAGAGTATGTTGTTTGCAGTCTTGTGTGATACATTTTTATGGTTATTTACATTTCAATGTTTTGCAATTGGTTGTTTGATGTGCATGGTGTTGAAACCCAATGAAACTTTAAGAGATTGTCAGAGTTACAGGTAAAATCCTTAAAGTGTGTGTATGTTTGTATGTATTATGTACAGTTGTAATGTAATATATGCTTCTTAGTGTAGAAACTTTTGAATCCTTTTCAGGCATTGTAGGGATAGTAGAAAAAAATAGAATATTTTGAGTTTAAGTATATGTGCGTGCTTAAATCCATTTTCTTGAGTAAAATTTTCATAGAAATAGAAATGACAAAGAAAGTCTCAAATCAAGTACAAAGCTGACACTGTTCGAAACATGTACAATGTCATTCAGAAGTTGGCATTTTTGTCTTTCTGAATACATCCAGTGTTCTTTTCAAACTGGAATTTAAAGCAATTGTTATTTTCATATTTTCACTATGTTGTACAGTGCGAGCTCTATATTACAGTTGACTTGGTTATCCTTTCCTTGGAGCGCTCAAAGTTGTGGGAAGAATTTTATACATGTTCAGTTTCTATGCATATCAGTCAAATGCTATTTTCTGATTTCCCTGGAGAAGTTAATTCTAAGATGAAAATGCCAAAGCAACTGAAACTTTAGTGTATTTAGCCACATCTGTGCCATGATGTGCTCTGTTTTCCCCACCCCCGCAACATCACCCAGCTCTGCCACTGCCTCACCCCTCGTGTCGCCAAAACCCTCATCCACGCATTCATCACACCCAGACTCAACTATGCTCGTCAATAAATGTCTTCCACAAGATGACGAGGGGAGGTTTGCAGTGATCAACTTGTTATCAGAGTCACGAGAGAAGCCCAAAGTTTGATCCAGGACTTTAAAATGATGAAATCCTTTGAATGATGTAGATATGATTAGCTATTTTGACGTCAACCATGAGATCAGAAGTGAATATAATAATAAGAATCTGTACACTTGGTGTAGCATCTTTCATGGCAGGAAGACATCCCAAAGCGCTTTGCAAGATATACTGGTGAAGTGAGTGAATGCGACAGCCAGTTTGCGCAAAGCAATGTCCCACAAACAGCTGTGAAGTGAGCAATGTTATCTAGGAGTCATAGATTTAATAACTTAAAGCTGGACTATAAATCAGATTCCTCCTCCTTGCAACCGGATGATGGAAATGTGGAACTGTGCCGCAAAGGCAATTGATGCTGGTTGATATTCTCCATTTTTAAAAAAAAATTGTGGAGTCCTGTAGCTTAGTGGTTAGAGCACTCACCTTGCAAGCAAGAGGACCTGGGTTCAGTACTCAGGAAAGACGAAACATTGGGCCAGTTTCCTTACTCCACATGCCACATGTTTATCAAAACTAATACTGCTGGTACAATTATTTCTATGCTCCTAGGGTCAGGTTTGGGATAGTTTGTCAAGACAGTAGCTTTGATGAGCTAAAGGAAGCGCAAGATGTTGCTGCAAATTGGAGGTTGTGATGTGACTGACACAAGGGTAGATTGTGCAAGTAGTTTTTGAAATTTTTAGTTACATGTTTATTAATGTTTAGCATTGGCCCATACAACTACATATGGTGGAGAATGAGGAGTTAGAAGCAGAATTAGTCTTTTTTTTAAAAAAAATTGTTATGCTGTGCTTAGATATTCAGGCTTGAAACCCCAGTCAGTGTTTGACATTTGTAATGTGCAGCAATTGATTGTTCCCAGAGGCAGGAACTTTGCACAACTCAAAGCAATCTCCTGGCAGCAGTACCTCTTTGTCAATCTGTTGCCGACCAGGCTTTGCCTGGCTCTGACAGTGTCATCGAGGCGCAAGCTACGAGAAACAAGGGAAGTGTGTGATCTAATTGGCGAGTCCATTAGGATTGTGAAAGGAAGAAATTGCTGTTGTGGAAATATCTAAGAATACAATTAAAAAAAAACTATCTGGGAAAAAATTATAGATTAGAATCAGATTTCCGCTTTTGTACTCAATGTTCCTATTTATACAATGAGAAGTTTTTAAAGGAGCTGACACAGACTTGAGGGGTTGAAGGGCCTTCTTCTGTGCTATAAATTATTATGGTTCTATATCTAATAGCTTTGTTTCACAGATTTGGCTACTCATCCTCCCACTTTTAAAGATTTGTAATATTAATCTTCAGCTCTACTTGTTCTTCCATTCTCTTTTAGCATAAAGTTTTAACATTTACTGCATTCATTTGATTCTGGCAAGTCAGGTAATACCTCAAAGATTTCACCAACTACTTAAGATGTATCAAAATAAATGGTTTCAACACTGGACAATAGTCATTGTTTGACCTTGTTTCCTGAAAACTATTTTGGAAGATATTTTCCTACACGTATGTTAGCTGAAAATGCCACAAAGTGCTCTGGGAAGCTACCTTGCATTTGGTGCACTATATAAATGTAAGTTGTTGTTTTTGATAAAGAATCCATTGACTCAGATGGTGATCGCAATACCTCTTTTGTTTTACTCTCCACAAACATTAAGATTATCATTTCCAACTGAAGTGACTGTTCTCAAATGTCAGCACTGAAGCAGGTTGCATGATAAAAGTAAATAATAATTAGCCTTGCATTTGATATAACGCTTTTCACATCAGGAGGATGTCTCCAAGCACTTCATAGGATTTACTGCAAAGTGTAGTGACTGTGTATTTTGCAGGTGAACACGACAGTAAATTTGTGCACAATAATCTCCCTTAAGTGCTCTGAGACGCTGTCTAGCATGAAGGGCGCTATATAAATGCAAATTGTTATAAACAGGTATGAAGTGAGTGTCCAATTTTATTTGGGGGACTGTTAGTCAAGACAACAGGGGAAACTTCCATTTCTTACTGAAAGATGCCATGGAATCTTTAATGTATGTAAATCACTGCCTCTAGCCTTCTGCTTTGCCCCATCTTTATCTTTAAAATCTCACCTTAAACTCCACCCCTTCGCTGCTTATCCTACGTGAAGGGCACTTATAGAAATGCAATATTTTTTTAATTCAGTGTTTGAGGAAAACTTTAGGACTGGTTGTAAAATCCAGTAGAACAAATTATTTTGTTTTGGGAAAATGAGGTTACCAATTCTTACAGCATCATAGTCAAAGCCGAGGATTGCTCAAGTGTTCTTTAATGATCATTATTTTTCAACAGAGTTGCTTCAAAAACCGGTTGCTGAAGGGGAGGAAGTTGAAGCCATTCAGAAAGCAAAATTACTCTATCAATCCTGTATGAACGAGAGTAAGTAGCTCATAAGTCACAGTAAATTATTAATACTCATACAATAGATTTAGGCTAAAGTGGAGGAGTGTTTTTTCCTTGAAAGATAGGAATGCAAATCACTGTGAAATACAGCAATAAAAAAGGATGCTGTGTAAGATGAGTGTGGGTCTTGACACAAGCAGATCACAAATAATGCTCCAACTCCAGCCAAGATGAAAACTATTTTAAGTAACCTTGCTTGAGGCCTCTCCCTCCACCACAGTAAAGGGGTGAAAATTTGACTTTCGATCTGATAATTACCATTAGTGATTGATATTGCATTGAATCCTGTATTTATACACTGCACATTTTCCAACAAAAAAGTACTAGAGTTAGAATCACAAAAGGGGTAATATATCAACCTGATTTATTTGAAGGCATTATTAACCAACCATTAAAACTAAACAATGACAGCTTATGTCAACAAAAAATGGAACGATAATATTTGGATAACCAACTCATCTAGTGAAACACAATGTAATTTATACCACCCTGAACCAGACTCACATACAGTACAACAGAATATTGACAAAGTACAAGATAAATTGCTACTTTAGGATTTTTTCAAGTAGCAGAGCAAGTCACTGAGATCTGCAAACCAAAGGATTTCAATTCACAGCATATAATGATCTAAATAATTTTCTTTGGTAAAATATAGAATCTAAAATGACATTCATGTGAAATTCGGGTAGCTTAAGCAAGGAAACTCATCATTGTATAGAGCTAAAAAGCAATTTCTCACAGTTCTATTGCTCCATGACTTGTGGAGTCCTGTAGCTCGGTGGTTAGCGCACTCGCCTTGCAAGCGAGACACCTGGGTTCTATTCCAGGCAGGGCGAAAGCTTGGGCAAGTTTCCTTACTCCACACGCCTAATAATCCTGGAAAAAAAACAACAATAAATTGGTCATTTTGAATCCACGAATGTTTGTGGGACGCTGCTGCATGCAATTGGCTGCCGCGTTTCGCTCACAAATATACGGTCAATTCACTTTACAGTCTATTCTGTGAAGCGCCTTGAGATGTCGAGAAAACGTGAAAAGCGCTATATCAAATGCAAGGATTGTTATTATATACTTGCTACTCCTATTTTCTGAATTTCACCACCTCTCACACACAAGGGCAATTGAATGAAAGAATTGCTTCTGAACTTTAGCTTCCAAACTTTTGCTTTGTTCCTACCTTTCTTTTTTTTCCTTTATTTTATCAATATTATTATACTCTTTGTTCCTCTGAACTTTCCTCCCGTGTTCCATCAAATGCACATTCTCCTCCTTGAATCCTTACTGTGTTAAGATCAGAACTCTATGCGTAGTCACCGACTCTTAACTTATTCTTTTGAGGGACCTCAAAGTTGTAGAACTTTTACTCCCTCAGACTTCTCTTCCTCCTCTAATGCTTTTCAAAACCTAACCTTGCTGGCACCCAGTCACCATTTTTTTAATCGTGTCCTTTCTTTTACTGTTTGCAATTTTGGTTCCGAATTAGAGCTTCTCAGCATAAAAAGTGCACCAGGTAGTTCACTGCCAATCAACTATCCAGTAGCCAAGTCATGTCACAATGCAGTTGTATATTCTCAACTTTACAAAGAAATAAATATGATTCTGTTTCTCTAAAACCAATGAAAACTCAATGGAAGTTGATGGTTTTGAAGCCTTATGTAAGTCACTCAAGCTTTGGTTTTTTTTTGTGTGAATTTAGACATAATTGAAAAAAAAGTCTTGTATATTATGTATTAACCTTATTTTGATGCTTACTGGAGTATGCTTGAAGATGCTTTGTTCATCTTATTAATTCTTAGAAATGCTGAGCAATAAATAAACCCTCTGTATAAAAGTGTTTGTTTTGTTGACAGCTGCTATAGAAATGAACGATATGAAACCTCTGCTTGAGATTCTGAAGGATCCAGCTTTACGCTGGCCAGTGCTTGAGACATATAATGGACCGGAGGGAACGTGGAAAGAGCAGGAATTCAGCCTCCTTGAGACCTTGGCTGTTCTCCGTGGACAATACAATAATAATATTCTCTTTACATTTTCTGTTGAAGTTGATAGCAAGAACTCTGAGGATCACATTTTAACGGTTAGTGCTATACACACCAACAGTTTATGTTAAAGTTAGTTATTTCATTTCAATAGTCACAAAAATAAATTCACAAAGCAAACTAATTAAGAGTTGAAAGTCTAAAATTAATGAAATAGCAGCTTTTATTTTGGTCAGCCAAGTAGCTGACACATGCAGAAACCCATCACTGTGTTTAAGAGTATCCAAACCAAGCTGAGAATGGAAATTTCTGTGTCTGGAATGGAATGTGCACTCTCTTCCCGGAGAGACATACCCTGCTCACTTAATTCCAGAGAATATTAGGCACAGGTTGGCAAGAGCCAAGGTTCAGAGTGTGTGTTGGGATATAGAGTTTCTTCATCAGCTTTCTGATGGAAGGTTGCCTTCAGAATGGTGGCAGGACCTTTATGCAACAGCTTGTGATATGTCAGCCACCTTGATGTTCTTGAGGTCCAAGTTCAATGCTGTGTAAAAGGCTTACTCCGCATCAGCTGCTTATACTAGGCCCTCTTGTGATAGGCCTTGGCAAATAGATGTGCCACTGTGAAGCCACCACCACCTCCAGGATGCTCAGCAACAGGTCAGCGTAGGCCAGAGGCCTCCCACTTGCTCTGTTTACCATGAATCCACCTCACTGATTGATTTTGGACTTTACAAATGGGCTGGAGGAAATTCTTCCGCTTGGACCCATGAAGGAGAACTGTTTGGACACAAGCTGTATATGCCTCAAGCTTATCCTGCATTGGAACTTTGCTGTCAGTGAAGGAAGATAAGAATGACCAGAGGGCCCTTTGCCCCTTCTCAAGTGCAGACCCGCAGGATAGTGTCCAAGCAAAGATTGTAACATTGTTGTGTGCGTATTGGCTGCTACGTTTGTCTACAAGATACGATCAATCACTTTATTGTAAATCCTCTGAAGTGCTTTGAGCTGTCCTTCTGATTTGAAAGGTGCTATATCATAAGTAAGGAATATTATTATTGTGAACAAAATAGTCCTATTTTAGTCAGCCGGGGCTTTTCTCAAGCTGACTCTTGGTATAATCACCTATCTCTTTGCTGCCAATTGTGCCTCTATTTCTGAACTTTTGTCTCATAAATCATGTCTACTCCCTGGCCCAGAGGGACCTTTTTCAGAGAGGGTCTGACCTTCTGTTTCTTTTCTGATGATGTATCATCTTTTTCTGTTTTTTTGCAACAAAAAATTTACTTCCTGTGGGAATACAAAAAAGTTAAACATTTGTTGTGGACAAAATAAGTATTTGACAGGATTTACCAACCCACCAAATTATCTTCTTGTTATTAATAATGATTACAAAAACACTGTACACTTATATAGCACTTTTCACACAGGGAAAATGTCTTAAAACGCTTTGCAAAGACTGAATGGGAGTCCTAGATGAGAGGGAGACCTCAATTCTTTATCACCAGGATTGTCTTGGTCATTTGTCTCTATACTTTCTTAAAGGCAATAACAGTCCTAAAATTATGAGATTAGGCTACACAGTGCTCCAGATAGTATCAGACCAATAGCTTATAGAGAAACAGCATCGCCTCTTTTGATTTCCTTTTTGTATCTCTTTACACTTATTTACCAAACTACTATATTTTATTAACTGTAGCCAAACACTGGGTTGTCTGTTGCAAAGATTGCTAATAACCATTGGAACACCACTCTTGTGTTTTTTAAATCCTTGAATGGTTCAGATTAATGCATTAGATTTATATGAGCATGACTGTTATATCCAAATAGCTTTGCTCACATTCAAATACATATTTTTAACTTGACTGTAAGCATAGATAAAAGCTACAGAGTAATTGCATTCACAATGGGATCAATTGAACATGGATGCATTTGGATTTGATTTACAGTGAAATTACAATTGCTGGCTTAGAGCAATTTCCTGTAGTAAATTATTTGAAAAAGACAATAACTTGCTACAGAACACACCGCACCTCACACAATGCTACAATTTGCCTGAGTATGTCAAACTGGTGGCTATGTGGCTATGTACACAAACTGACATATCTAATATCTCAGCATTAGACCCAACTGCACACTATGACGAATTAATTCCAAAGTTTTTATATTGATCAAAATCTTTATACTGATTGTGGTCTTTATACCGATTACTGACATTAATCTGTGACTCCAGCAGTTTATTACATCCTTGCTCTGTAGAACATTGACACATTTTACACCTTACCACAGACATCGTGTGAATGTATCCTTATACAAAAGTACACTTAAACTCCAGATGGAAAGGACTTAGCAACTCCCTCCCTCATTGTTTGCTTGTGAGATCTATTATCCCACATATGTGGTGAGACTTGTTGCTGCAGCAGCATGGTAACAGCTGGAAGACTACAATGATACATTCAGCTCCACATTGCATTTTGCTTGAGCAAAGCAGATCTTTGTATCTGATGGTATATTTCCAGTTACAAGGTGGCAGCCACTTTGGGGCAGCAGATCTGCTTTTTACCACATTCAGCACTGTGCAGATGAACGTTAGGCCATGGATTAACTTAACTCGACTGAGCTACAAGATATTGAAGCTTGATCTAAATAATAATTATTACATTTGGTACAGCTCCTTTCATGTGGAAAGACATCTCAAAGCGCTTTACAGGCTTACGCTCTAAAGTGCAGTAACTGTCTTTTGTGGGCAAAATGCAGTAGCCAATCAGTGCACAGCAATGTCCCACAAACAGCCATGAAGTGAATGACCAATTTTATTTGGGAGATTGTTGGCCAGGACACCAAGGGAAAACCCCTTCTCTTTTTGAATAGTGCCATGGGCTTTACCTGAACAGGCAGGCAGGACCTTCGGTTTAATATCTCAACTAAAGGACGGGATCTCCACCAATACAGCCCACCCCAAACACTGCATTAGAGATGCAGAACATCATCTGGAACATTGAGGTCTAAAACGCTTGATTTCTAATTGGATTCTTTAATAAGGAATCCGAACCGTACAAAGTGGACTCCTTCCTGTACCTGGAAGTAAAGCACGATCATGTTTACTCACCAAGAATCCTCTGGGATGATGTGGAAAAGGCCTTTAAAATTGTGAGGGGTTTGGTAGAGTCAACAGGGAGAAATTATTTCCATTGATCAATGCTAGAGAACAAAAGAGCAAATGGAAACGATAGGAGAATTTTTTTTCATGCATTTTATTTTTGGATATGAAATGCCCCGCTGGGAGCGATGTTTGAGGCAGAATTTATATTAGCTTCCAAATGAAACTAGATGAATAATACTTAAAAGCAGTAAATTACAGGGATATAAGGTAAGGGCAGCTAAGTAAGACTGAAAGGAATAGTCTTAAAAGAGCCAGCACAGGCACAATGGTTGAATGGTCTTTTGTGCTGTAAATTTCTGGTTCTATGATTTGACTAAAAGCTGTGATACAGTGTTATACTAAAGAAGAGCATGTAGTAGAAATTCTGATTTTATTGGTTCACAACGAAGCCAATTAATAGAACATTTCTCTAGGACAGCATCATGACTGCAATAACAACGTTTATGTGATCAAAAGGCGTGAAGTGATGTTAAATATCGGTGTATTTGAACAGGACAGTCGGTCGCACCACTACAGGGTGTTCACGCTTTTCACTTTTCTCTGAGTTTCTATAAACAGCTGGACCAAGGATCTCTATTCATGGAATCGCGGGAAGACTATCTCACCAACAGCACGGAAACAAAAACTGTGAGTAGCACTTAACCTCAAAAATTCCTCTGCCTTGATAATGAAAAAATTATGAATGTGTCATGAACAAAACAGGAACCCGTCAGAAAACTTCATGGGAGAATTTTACTTGCAGCAAATTATTCACAGCCTGCTTCTCCTACATTATTGGTATGTTGCGCCTTTATGAACCCCACGTACAAAGCGGGAAAGTGCTTTTTCAAGGTATTAGATTTTTCAACTATTAGATAGCTCGAATACTATATTTCCCCCATCAAGAAAATGATTGCACCATTGCTAATGGAGAAAATTGAGCTTCAAAACATACAGAATCTGATCCATCATCTGAAGTCAGGACTAATGGGAGTCAGCTGTCCCCTTGTGCACTCAAGGCATTTAATTGCTGCTCCAAGGCAATTAAACCATTGCAAAATGCAATTTGCTGCTGTGTATGAGGTCTTCCTAAACATGTTGTTATTCAGTCATGGTCAGCGTCAAGACAGTGGGTGTAGCTATGTGTGCAGAATGTCCCAGCTTTGGGAGAAAATGCTGCAGTACCAAAGATGGCACTGGACAGCGTCAATTATTTAATTCACAACCAGTTCCAGGTGAATTCAATGATTCTTTATTCTTGTTGCAGGACTGTATGCTAAGCCTGCATTGCCTGAGCAGACAAAAATACATGCATACATATTAAGGTTAAGGTACCATGTGCACAATTATCAATAATGTATGAATATAATAGATAACTAAAAAATAATCTGCTCCACTACTAGTTAATATCCTGGTTGGAGAAGGTGAATGTATCTCTTTGTGACTGGTTGTTTCATCTAAATACTCATACACAATGGATTTACTTCATTCAGGCCACTGTCCACAATGCAATTATGAATCTTTATGAATCTTTGCCTTTGCTCTTTCCCAGTACAGGGATGCACTGCTGAAGCTTATGATCGACATGGCTATTCTCCTTGGAGCTAATTCCACCACTGCACACGCTGACATGGCCAAAGTACTGGAGTTTGAAATTGAATTAGCCAAGGTATGTGAAACACTTGATGGTTGGTTATTCTGGTGTCGCTTCTGAAGCACAACATCATTATTCTTGACACAGTGATCACAAAAAACTTTTTTTATCAATAAAAATTATTTACTATAAAAAAGATCAGATCTTATTTGCGTATTCACAGATACTCTAAAGATACCCACTAAATATTCATCCTAGCAGATCTGATGTTTTCAGTCCTTTTAAGTTAGTGTTCAGATGTTATTGCCGTGTCACTCACCATCATTCAAGGCTATCTTAGAACATGTTAATTGTAAATGTTAACATGTACCATTACATATTAATTTAAAACGAGACAGTTTTACTGTAGATTTTTAAAATAGTATAACATCAATTCAGCTGGTTGCTGTTTTTCAGTATCCTGCCAAAGAAATGTTTTAAACTTTAAGCATTGTTTAAAGTTCAGTACAGTTCTATCTTTAAAAAATGTTTTGGAGAAACAAGATGAACCATGTTCTATTAATAGTGAGCATACACGTTTATGGTTTTGAAGAAGATCTGGTCAAATGAAGACTTTCCTGTCTACTGAAATCTGTACCTCCAGCCATTTACACTTTCTCCCCAGCTTAGTGTCAAACTCTGCCAACGTTCAACACTCCAAGATGCTGTTCCAATTGTGTTTCAATGTGGTATTCATTTTACTTTACAGATTGTTATTCCAAATAGGAACAGGACCAGTGAAACCCTTTATAACAAGTTCACTATATTACAACTGCAAAATACAATACCTGGGGTAAGTCAAGAATATTACTGATAAATATTAAATACAATTATTAGTTGATAGTATTAAAATCAAGCTAGTATTCATCTTTTAACAGAAAAGTGTTTCAAAAGACAAATATCATTAGGGGAAGGGAAGACTAAAGAAGTTAAAAGAGTTCCACAGGTTTGAGGAGTGGGAAAGCATGTGTTTGATGTTTTGGACAGTCAATGAATTCTGATTGGTAACACAGTGATGATGCAGCGAGGAGAAATTGTGTATGGACGGGTGGATTTAGAGTTTAGAAGAAACAAGAGTGAAGTTCAAACGACCAATGATCAAGATAGTGTAGTATCAGTGAAATAAATATGTCTTCATACATTAAGACTCTTTTTTAAAAAAATCTTAATTTCAGACACCAAAATGGAATATTTCTGGGTAAGTGGCCAAGTTACTAAGAAAGGATGCATTTGCTTTGATTTGCAACATCATTATAAAATAGAACTACAGGAATGATAAGAAATTGATAATTCCCATTGGAAGCAATGATGCAGGTTCTTTATTTGAATCGGGTTGAAACAACAAAACATGAAACAACTTATTATTTCTGTCATTATAATTTCAGTTTGATTGGCTTCATTACATGAACATGGTAATTGACGATGAATTTAATCCTGAACTTAAACACATAAACGTGTCAGAAGATATTATAGTGTACGTTCCCCAGTACCTCAAGGATTTAGTCAAGCTGCTTCAGACTGTGGATAACAGGTAAAATATTTTTAAATCTTTAATTTTTTTGATCCGCTGAGTGTTTGACACATGCAGAAACCCATTGAGAGTATTCAAGCCTGACAGAGTTCCACATATGTGTGCCACCTAAACATGTAAATTTCCCTGTGCCTGGAAGGCAATGTGCACTCTCTCCCTGGAGGAACACACCTTGTTTACCCAATTCTGGAAGGTATTAGGCAAGGTTGGCGAGAGCCAAAGCTAATATTGAGTACAATATTAAAATACAGTAGAGTTATGATCTGACTAATATTCAGATTAATTATTCTGTCATTGTATAATTAATTTGTAGAACGGTGGCAAATTATGTGGTGTGGAGAATTGTGTACAGGAGAACCAACAACCTGAGTAAACGTTTTCTAAACAGGCGTCTTGAATATCTAAAGGTAAGTAAAGAATATTCTGTAGCGTGTTTGGGAGTTACATGGGCTGAAAATTGAGTCATTCTAGAGAAGGACTCCCAGCCTGTACTCACAAATGATGGCAATCCTATTTGTTTGGTGTTCACACTGTCAATGTAAAGTGGGAAAAGTGATTAATTTAATATGAGTTTATACTGTCATTATAAAATAGATACAATATATTTCATTTTAACATGGGTTTATAATCATGTTAAAGTGGACAAGATGGTCAATTCTAACATACAATACTTTGAATAAATTAGACTTTTTTTAAATCTACATAAAAATTGGAAAGACTTCTATTAAAAATATGTGATATAAAATTATACTTAGTAATTGTCCAGGGTGGTCCAATTGATGGCTCGCCATTTCATCTGGCCCAAACCTCTCCCTCCATGTAAATGTTATTTATATTTCTGTCAAAGGAAACACAAAAATATTGCTTATGCAGCCCGTGGACTTTTCTCTAATATGGCATCCCGCCCACAGCAGCCAAAAGGTTGGACCATCCTGGTCTAGAACATTGAAGTGGAAATAAAAGTATGACACAAACAGAAATGCAAACTAAACTTGAAATATTACTGTGAAGATTACTGACTATTTGTAGGTGAAAGCAGCAGCCATTTTACACAGTATTGTCCCACAAAAAGCCACGAAGTGAGTGATCATTTTTATCTGGGCATTGTTAGCAGGATGCCAATAGATATTCCCTTCCCGTTTTGAATCACATTGTGGGTTTTTAATGTCCACCTGAACAAGCAGATGGGACCTTGCTTTAACTTCTTATCCACAAGACAGCACCATCAACAACGCAGCACTACCCCAATGATACACTGAAGTGTCAGCCGAGACTATGAGCTCAAAGTCAGAAATCCAGGAGAGAAGAAGAGAGATCACAAAAGCAAGACAATACCAGAAAAGGAATTTAAGCCATGAGTATTAGACATACATTAAATTATAATTACCTAAAATGTTTAATCATTTTCTGAATTTATTCAATAAGCAAAGAGAACAACAAAAACTAAAAACGCACTTTATTGACTCCTAAGGTGCATTGTTGTCTATTGTTTGCCTACAAAGTTCACAATCGCTACACTTTGTAGTGTATCCTGTGAAGTGCTTTGAGACATCTTCCTGATGTGAAAAATGCTGTATCAAATGCAAAGATTATTATTTACTGTCATTATATTTTGTTTAAAGGTGGTTAGAGGGATGACTTCTTTAGCTGAACGCTGGATCATGTGTGTGGTCTATGTTGACTATATTTTTTCGTATGCTGTTGGAAGAATGTTTGTTGATGCACATTTTCAGGAGGATAAGAAAAAATTGGTAAGTTTGTTTTTTCACCATTGTACTACATTGTTACCAAAACTTTCTAATACCTATTATTAATAACATTCTTTTCACCATAGGAAATGAATGGCATAGAACAATGAAGACAATGTTGCTACCAATATATTTCACAAGAGAGGTTTAATTGAAGAAGACAATGCAATCCATTTGATCTCATCCAGGAATTGAATCCCCTTAATGGGGTCAATGTTATAAGTCTCAACAACACTGCCTGATAATCTATTCCAGCTGCTGATTACAAGATATTTGCATTTCCGTGACTTCGGCCACAAACAGTTCATCTGGAGTTCACTTCCAAAAGCAACACAACAGCTTACATTTACATAGCCTTCTTCACGGAGGTAGTTTCTACCCTGCGTGTAGAGCGCTATATAAATGTAAGATTAAATAAACTTAAACAAGGGCATCAAAGGAAAAAGGATTCCCTCCAGGGTACTATTTGAGGTGCTTTGAGAAAGGAAATGGACATAAATACATTTGAGGAAGGGGCAGTAGCAGGATACTACTAATCAGTTCACAATACACAATATAACCACAACAATAGTTTACATATATATATATATTATATAGTGCCTTTCACATCGGGAGGATGTCCCAAGGCAGTGGATAGTCAATGGTTTGCACCTGAGCTAGGGGTTGGATTTGGGAGGGGTGGGGGTGAGAGAGAAGATAACTAAAGGCACAGAAGGGAAAAGGAAGACCTTGAGGTGGACATTGACAGAGGCAAGCAAAGGAGCGAGGTGAAGAGACTCCGTGTGGAGCTGGGAGGTCAGGAGAGGGGTGTAGGGATGGGGTCGGGGAAGCATGTGGTGCGCTTCATTTCAGGATACAATAGTAGACAAGTCTTTTGGTTATTATGATAATAATAATCCTTGAATTTGTGGAGTCCTGTAACTCAGTGGTTAGAGCACTCGCTTTGCAAGTGAGAGACCTGAGTTCAATTCCCGGCAGAGGGCGAAACCTTGGGCAAGTTTCCTTACTCCACACGCCTAATAATAATCCCTCCAAAAAAAACAATAATAAATTGTTCATTTTCAATCTATGACTGTTTGTGGGACATTGCTGTGCGCAATTGGCTGCCGCGTTCGCCCACAAATATACAGTCAATTCACTTTACAGTGTGTTCTGTGAAGTGCTTTGGGACGTCCTCCCGACATGAAAAGCGCTATATCAAATGCAAGGATTATTATTATTATTATAGCGCTTTTCACGTCTAGTAGACGTCTCAAAGCACTTGACAGAATATACTGTAAAGTGAATTGACGGCACATTTGTGGGCAAAACACGACAGCCAATTCCACACAGCAGTGTCCCACAAACAGTCATGGATTGAAGTGACCAATTTATAATTATTTTTTTTCTTGAGGGATTATTATCAGGCATGTGGAGTAAGGGAAATTGCCCAAGGTTTTGCCCTGCCGGGAATTGAACCAAGGTCTTTCACTTGCGAGGCGAGTGCTCTAACCACTGAACTACAGGACTCCATTGCGGAGTTACGTAAACCTCTTATATATATGTATATATATATATATAACCCTCTGGAGGAGTACTTCCAGCAGAGAAACTGGCAGCAGAGTGACTGCTTCTTGAATAGAGAGTATTCAGCAGTAAGTCCTTCACAGTATCATACATTAAATATATTGATGAAAACTGGGATATAGCAATGTGTGAAATTGTGGTTATTTGCTTCAGTAAGTTAAACAATGAAGACCATCCCACCTGGTCCTAATGAGGAAATGTTAATGTTGCCCAATCTTTGGACAATTCTGTTCAGAACTCTGTCCTTGATGTTACAATATATATATACATATATATTACAAACTATATTTTAGGCAGTCAACCAGTAGATGAGTCACATTTCAGTAAAATAGGCCAGTGCCATTAGATGCTGCTTTAATGGCTGTGGTAAACAAATGGTACTAATAGTCAGTAGAGTTCAAGGCAAAATTCTATCATTTCATGAGACAAATGCTCATATGATTTACAAAGGGCAAATGGGAAATACTGCGTGATCCATTGTCAGCCTTGTCTGCAGCATAATTACTGTATTGCAGAATATTTAGTCTTTGTAACGAATAAGTCAGTGACATTTCAGCTCTGAGTCCACTTTGTGTTGCTGTTGAGAGCTCTCTCACAGTATTCAATAAGCGAATAAACTGTTATAGACGCTACTTGGTTCATTCAAAGGCTATCTAAGGAGAACAAGCAATAATGTGTTAACTTGTCAAGGAAAGGGAAGTTTGGGTAATAATTATATATTTTATAAAATTTAGGCATTTGGTTCAATATAAACTTGTCCACTGCTGCTCTGATGAGATAAGGTAACACAACACAGGCGAGGAAATCAAATTGTAGAGCTCTCAGATTTTGTGTGGCTCAGTATCAAGATGTTTAACCATTAATTTGGTTAAGCGCAAGAGACTTCAAATTCTACCTCATCTTAGTCAGAAGACTCCTTTGTCTAACTATTTAATATAGCATAAGTTGTGTAAGAGTCTTAAATGTGATTTTAATTTGGAAGCTGTTTCATTTAAAAAAAAACTATGGTAAACCAGCTTTCAAATTAAGACTAAATTTAAGAAGTTTTCACAATTCTGCATGACCTTAAATTTTAAGGCAAAAGGGTCTTGCACCTCAGTAAACTTTATGGGTCTAAAATTCTGTTTGCTTGCAATTATAATTATTTGTAGACCGAAGAATTAGTTGAAGGTGTTCGCTGGGCATTTCTGGATATATTGGATAAAGAAAATGATTGGATGGACAAAGACACCAAGAACAAAGCTAAAGAAAAGGTAATGGTTTGATTTTTATTTTAATACATAATTCAGACTGGTCAGGACCAGCATTATAACAACAACTTGTATTTATATAGCGCCCTTCACACAGGGTAGCATCTCGGAGTGCTAAAATGTAATGGAGACTAGTCAGAACCAATATTGAACGAAAAGTTTGGTTTGCATAATGGTGAGGAAAAGTGTCAAGGCCGAACGCTGGTTAGATTAAGTATAAAAGGAGCCCCTGAAAAAATGTGGCACAGGATCAACTATTTTGAGTCAGTCAGTATCGGGCTTCAAAACCCAACAAGATAGCAAGTGAGCACACATTTTAATGAAGGGCTTTATAATGGGGTTTCGCTGTATGATGAGGGATGAGGAACAATTTTCAAAACAAAAACAAAAATGTCTCAAGAGTTCACATTCTTGTTCCTGGTAAAATTCGCCACCTGGTCAGAATGCTTGCATTCTTTGGCCCCTAAATATTGAACACACACTACAGTCATTTATTGCCCAACAATTGCAGCTTCAAGTGGCTCAGTAGCACAGGCCCAGTTCTTACTCAAGAGATATTTGTTTTCAATTCTGTGGTGCTTTAAAGCAAATCAGTGGGATTTTCTCTCTTTTTTTTCAAATGACCATATGAAGAGCAGAGTGTGATATTGAAATACAGAAGATTTTATGTTTCAAAAAATCTAATTGATTTCTAATTCATGAAAGGAGAAAAGAGATGAAGGGTGTGGAGCTTTAATTAACAAACAAGTCTGTTCAGGTGGACATTATGGCACTATTTGAAAAGAGAAGGGACTTTCTCCTGGTGTCCTGGCCAACAACAGCCAAGATAAATTGTTCAATCACTTCGTGGCAGTTTCTGAGTCATTCGCTGTGAGCAAATTGGCTACAGGTTCGCCTAAAAATTACAAAGTCACTGGACTTTACAGTAAATTCTTACAGCACTTTGAGACCTCCTCCTGTTGCGTGAAGCGCTTTACCACATGCAGAGATTATTATTGATGCATGCAGAATTTTACTTGCAGTTAATTCTTTGAAGGGGTAACAGAAAGAGTCGACAAGGGTAATGCGGAAGATATAATATATTTAGATTTCCAAATTTCGATAAGGTGCCACATAATAGACTAATGAATAAGGTCAGAGCATGTGGAGTCAGAGAAAAATAGTAGAAACAGAAAACAGAGAGTAGGGGTAAAAGGTAGCTAGGGGGTAGGCAGTGGTGTTCCACAAGGATCAGTATTGGGACCACTGTTGTTTATAATATACATTATTGATTTGGATTCAGGAATCAGCAGTACAATTTCAAAATTTTCAGACGACACCAAATTGGGTGGAGTAGTTAATACAGAGGAGGACTGCAACAAATTACAGCAAGACATTAATAAACTTGCTGAGTGGACATTTAAATGGCAAATGCATTTCCATGTAGACAAGTGTGAAGTGGTACATTTTGGTAGAAGGAATAAGGAAGTCATTGGGGTTCATTTCTAGAGGGATAGAAATGAAAAGCAGGGAAGTTATGGTAAACCTCTATAGAACCTTGTTTAGACCACGCTTAGAATACTGTGTGCAGTTCTGGGCCCCACATTATAGAAGGGATGTAGAGGCACTGGAGAGGGTGCAAAAGAGATTCACAAAGATGATCTCAGAACTGAGAGGTTATACCTATCAGGAAAGGCTGAACATATGTGGACACTTCTCTTGAAAAGAGGAGGGTAAGGGGTGACCTGATAGAGATCTTTAAAATGATGAAAGATTTTGATAGGGTAGATGTAGGGAAGATGTTTCCACTTTTGGGGGAGACCAAAACCAGGGGCCATTAATATAAAATAGTCACGAGTAGATCAAATAGAGAAGTTAGAAGAAATTTCTTCACACAGAGAGTAGTGGGAATGTGGAACATGTTTCCACCAAGGAGTTGTTGAGGCAAATAGCATAGATGTATTTAAGGGAAAGCTGCATAGGTACATGAGGGAGAAAGGAATAGAAGGTTATGCTTGAAGGCTTAGTTGAGGAAGGGCAGGAGGAGGCTCATGTGGAGCATAAAACCGGTATAGACCAGTTGGGCCGAATGGCCTGTTTCTGTGCTGTATATTCTAATATATTCTAATCATAGCCTCTGATGCCAGGGATTGTCTAACAGGATGGTCAAGGTGGTACATAAATGCAAATATTAATATGGATAATCAGCTTTCCACTGTATGATCCAAAATAATGTTTTTTTCTGTGACAAATCCTTAAAGTATGCACAGGGTGAATTTCATAATATCATCAGCCTAGGATATTGAACGGCTGCTTCAAAGTGATATGATTCTATAATATAAAGTTGCAGTTGTTACCACCCACTATAAGCATTAAAGTCCAAGTTTAATTGCATTGATTTATAAGTGGGTATGTTCCCTTGGTGATATACTATCTTTCAGCACCTAAAAGCACTGAATAAATCCATTTTGTTTAGCATCAGCAAGTGTAGTTTCACACATCCAATCATGCCCGTGCAAATTTTGGAATTTACTTTTGGATGAGCAAACCAGAATTATATTAGGGTAGAAAATGTTACATACAAACAAACCTATGGGGAGAAATGGGTTTACTCTATTTATGTTGTATTTTAGAGCTTTTAGAATTTGGCAAATATTTAATTTTGAAGCCAGTGTTCTGTTTGTCCTTTTGAGAACTACAGAAAACTGATTTAAATGTTGCAACTGAATTCAATAATTCTGAAATTTTACATATATAGAATAAATCTAGACCCCAGTGGAATTTCTCTCCACGAGGGCCAGGGATGAAGGAAACAGCTTTAAGCAATAAAAGTGGATGGCGCAAAGAACGTTTTGAACATTTTTACTAAGATTGAATTTAAACATCCAACAATTGTGCATGGAAACAGCCCACTCGGCCCAACCAGCCCATGCCAGTGTTCACACTTCACATCAGTGTCCACCCACTCCTTACTTCCCTCCCCACCCTTCCGCCCACTCCTCATTTGAAGTTCTGGCTTCAGGTGACCTTTTGAAATGGGTAGGAATTAAAGTTATTGTTGATGTTAAGATCCACATTAAACACATCACAGCTCCTCTATTGGTAGCTAAAATCAAAATATGCTTTGGGACCTAAAGCTGCAGGAGATGTGATGGTTACTGCATCTCTCCAATCACTCACAGGTAGTGTAAGCTACATCAACAACAACGTAACGCTGAGCCGGTCAACAAGGAAGGTCTTCAGGCGTGATCTAAAGACTAGCAAGTAGTGGGCAAGTGAAGGGTTGAGGCAGGGGGGACCAGAATTTCAGAACATAGTGGCTGAAAGCAAGGCCTCCGATAGTGGGGTGGAGGGCACGAGGTACATGTAGAAGGCTGAAGCTGGCTTAGCAAAAAGGGATGGGTAGGAGAGTGGGGTATAAATAAGTCAGAGAGATAGGGAGGTACTACCTCTCTAACAGTATTTATGATTTACTGAAGTGATTTGAAAGTGAGTGTGAGGATCTTGAAATCGATCTGTTCTTGATTTCTGCAGAAGCTGCAATATAACAATGCAAGTTATTGCTATATAGCTGTCAATCAAGGTTTCCTACTAATTATAGTTATATATTATTTGCATTAAACTCCACAGCTTTAGTTTTCATGCAGTGATTGTTATTTGTTTCTTGTTTTTTCAGGCTAATGGAGTTCACTCTAAAATAGGATACCCCAGCTTCATACTGAATGATACAATCATTACTGAATCCTATAGAAACGTAAAGTACCCACATTCATATCTAACCATTGTGCTATTTCGATGCAGCTTATTTTTTCACATATATGTGTGCTTGCAATACATGGTACTGTACATGATAAATTATATGTGAGAGTGATTTGCTCAAACTCTGGAGGATTGTATGCTCGTCCAAATTGTTTAAATTCTTTAATATCTACGTGCTCCCCCTTGGTAACATCATCTGCAGACATGGGATCAACTTCCACATGTATGCGGATGACACCCAACTCTATCTTTCTGCCTCCACCCTCAACTCCAGGACCACTGCTGTCCTGACAGACTGTCTGTCGGACATCAAGTCCTGGATGAGGGCAAATTTCCTACAGTTGAATGTGAACAAGACTGAGGCCCTCCTGATTGGTTCGCACCAGCGCCTCAGCACCTCAGGCTCTGGCAGCACCAACCTCCATGGTTGCACACTACAACTCACCAAACCAGTCAGGAACCTAGGTGTCTTGTTCAACCCTCAACTGCCTTTTCTCCCCCACATTCAAGCCATGACCCGCTCTGCCTTACCTCACCTCCGTAATGTCGCCTGACTCCGCCACTACCTCACCCCTCAGGCCGCTGAAACTCTTGTTCATGCCTTCTTCACCTCCAGGCTCGACTATGCAAATGCCCTGTTTGTCGGTCTTCCTAACTCCTCCCTCCACAGGCTGTAGATAATCCAGAACTCTGCAGCCCATGTCCTCTACCGCACCAAACTCCGTGACCCTATCTTCCCCATTCTGGCCCGTCTCCATTGAGTCCCTATCCTTCAGAGGTTCCAGATCAAGATCCTGGTCCTCACCTACAAAGCTCTCCATGGCCTCGCCCGACCCTAACTCTGTGACCTCCTAACCCCCTACCAACCCGCCCGCTCCCTCCGCTCAGCCGGCTCCAGCCTGCTTCACGTCCCCCGACCCACCCGCCCCACCATTGGTGGGAGAGCCTTCAGCCACTCTGCCCCCAACCTCTGGAATTCCATCCCCCAATCACTCCGCCTCGCCCCCTCCTTAGCCTCCTTCAAGTCCTACCTCAAGACCCTCCTCTTTCACCATGCCATTGGCCACCCCCTTCCCCTCCTCTCCCTTCTCCCTCCCGACCCCAGCTCGGGTCTGAATTGCTGTAAACTGCCCAGCGCCTTGGGACGTCCGCCCGACGTGAAAGGCGCAAAACAAATGAAATCTTGTTGTTAAATAAATGAAATAAAGGGTTTTTGTTCCAAAAGAAAATTCCTGCAAATTGACAGATGAGACTGTTCCTTGAGTAAACTTATACAGTATTTATGTTTTGCTGACTTTTTTGAGATATGTTGGTGCTGGGAATGGAACACTATTATTTAATTGAATGGAGGTCTATTATGCACCATTTGTAAACACAGTGAATGTGTTGCTGTATGCTGTAAGAAACGTTCCACTTATATTAAAATCTATGGTATAATTTTATTTACGATTTAAAATTTCATTAGTAATTTTCAAGTGTATGGCAATACATTTGCTAGTTTTAGCAAATGTAGCAGAATAGCTGTCAAAAAGAATTGGAAGACTTGACAGGCTGAATAGTCTACTGTTACTGTCTTATTATGTTCTTATGAAAGGAACTGGAGGAATGATTGAAAGTTGTTTGTTGTAAACAGGGTGTATTTAGAAAGTGATTTACCCACTCTTAACATGGTAAATATACTGACAATCAGAATTCTCCACCACAGATGTTGCATGTTAGTACTTTGTTTATTAAATTAGTTGTGATTTGAGATTCCAGCTTTAATTCACATTGTCTTTTGTGTTTACAGATTACTATTTCTAGTTCAAACTACTTTGAAAATGTAGTGCTGGCCCTCCTAGTCTTTGCTCAGGCTGATTTTGCGTGGTTGCGACTCCATGCTTCAAAAACAGGGTATATTAATTCTGTTCATCTATTCACCTTTTGAGACTATGTGCCCAGAAGCAAGAAACAATGATTGAACCCTCCATAAACTGTCTTTGGTGCAAAGAATAATTCTTGAGAGTAGAATGCATTGGGATAATAATAATAATAATAATAATAATAATAATAATAATCCTTGCATTTGATAAAGTGCCTTATCACATCGTTGAGATGTTTCAAAGTGCTTCACGTACCTATACTGTAACGTGAATTGCATGTTTCATTTGTGGGCGAAATACGGCAGTTAATTGCACACAGCAGTGTCCCACAAACAGTCGTGGATTGAGTGACCAAATTAATTTTTATGTGTGTGTGTTTGTTTGTTTATTTATGTTTTACAAGGAGAATTTTATGCTTAAACAAGGGGAATAAAAATTTAATGCTTCTTAACAGATTTGATAACATTCAATAACACATTAAATCTGATAAGAAACAATGCATCATTACCTTTGAGGGGCTTAAAATCAGTCACTTTTAAGAAAATGGCAGAAAAATATACTTAATGGGTAACATTAGTACTGGACAAAGGGGGGAGATTAATAAAAAAAAATTTACACAGAGAGCTCCTAGGATGTGGAATGTCTGCCTGATATAATTCTGACAATACATATTTGCTTTAAAGATATCTGAAAAGGAATACTTTTCAGCAATACAGGGGAAAGGCAGGTAAATAGGAAGATAGGTGGGGGGTGGGGAGAGAAGGAATTCAAAATCAATGGTTGGTGGGGGTGGGGTGTGAGTGAGCGAAAATAATTCAACTTTCCATTAAGTTCAAGCATGGACTCCTATCTGAATTTAACCAGCTCCTGAACCATTTGCATAGTTTGTGTTGGGTGAAAAATGTACACATTTATATTTTTTGTTCACATTTATTTTGTAGAGTAATTGCATAATTTGACAAGCTTTCTTGTTTGCCATAGTTGGTTCACCAGCCCAACCACTGTTAATGCATTTTACAGCCCAACGCAGAACCAAATCCGTAAGTATTTTGTTTTACCCTTTTAGTATTTAGTTGGAGGAAGGTGCACCGGATTATTGAGTGAAAATTGTTGAATATGTCATAAACAATCCTTGCTTTCCTTAATGCAGCACAATATTAAAAACAATCAATCTTCATTATATCCACATCTTGCCTTCTACATTTTAATAACATTGTCAGAAAATAAGTTTATTTTCTGACGTCATGATGGACATCTGAATTACTGCTTGTTAAAAGATGTTCCTTCTGCACCATCTGTTATATAACTGCTAGCTTTCAAAGCAGAAGTCATCATAGAGAGCTCATCTGTCTCCAGGCTCCAGATAATAAAGATAAAGTATGGTGTATGTATTCTGATATGATTATGTATGGTGTTGGCTGATTTATGTTTGTATTGTTTTGCTGAACTGGATCAATACGAATAGTAATAATCATCCTTGCATTTGATTTAGAGCCTTATCATGTTGTTGAGATGTCTCAAAGCCTTCACAGAATATACTGTACAGTGGATTGACTGTATATTTTTTGGGCAAAGCGCGGCAGTCAATTGCATACCACAAAGTCCCACAAACAGTCGTGCCCCACAATCTATTAAAGTAGTTTTTCATTTCATTTTCAGAGTTTCCAGCAGGAGAACTTCAAAAGCCATTCTTTTGGGGAGAACAGTACCCTCTGTAAGTATGAGTTGTAACTCACACATAACTATGAAGTTGCAGCAGCCCATGCATTGACTGGTACATTTTACATTTTGTGTGTGAGAGTTAACTTGTATAACCCTGAGAGTCCTAAGTGTTATAGTCACAAACAAGCATCAGGAGATGGCAGAAGTAATGAGAAAAATTAAAAGCGAAAAGGAGGTAGCAAAGAGTTGAGGCTCAGTGATGGGGAGACTGAATGGCCTGTTCTCACAAGGTCATTATGGTATCAGAAGTGGATACTTCCACTCCTGGAATACAAACCCCAACGTGCTTCAAAGATAAACACAGGCACAATCCTAGATGTCAAAAACATTGATGACCCCCTTTATAATAATTGATAATCCTTGCAACAACGATAGCTGCTTATTCAAGTCTGCAGGTCAAAGTGCAAGGGTGCCAACAGCTGCTCTCTAATGTATCAGCTCCTCACATGCTGCACAATAAATTGACTCATGGTTGGCTTGGTTTGGGACCTGAGTATCACAAAGAACAATATGCATTCAAATATGATCACATTTGAATTTATTTTTAATTTCAGGTCCATCAGTTATGGTGGAATCGGTACCATTGTTGGCCATGAGTTTTCCCATGCATTTGATAACAATGGTAAGTGACTCGTCATTGGCTTTGCGATGGAAATGCTTTGTATGACAATGGAATTGAAAAAGTGCTAGAATTATATAACTTTGTTTTCAGCAGGGAAAACCCCTGTATCACTCTGACTCTAACCCACCCAAGCCGCAGCTCAACCTGAGATCTCTTCAGAGCTGAAGTCTTGTTAGTCAATGTGACATTCACAGATTTCCCTAGAGAAAACCAGTTTACGTTGCAAGCCTTTTTCCTGGCGCTCACATTGTTTGAACACATTTTAATCACACGTCTTTGGAACCACACACTGAAGCAATCGGGTGCTAGGTGAGAGAATAAAGAGAGAAAATGGGAAGAACGCATCCCATGTTCCTTTGTTTATGAGGTAAGTTATTTTGTAGTTTCTGTTCTTTAGTCAGCCTTATATCACAACACATTTAATTAGTGAGTGTGGGCAGGACAACATGTTTCCCGCCCCGTTCCTGTCTGTTCAACCATGCTCTGTTCCTGTCCTGTGGTAGCTACATTATAGCTTATTATACATTATAACTACGTTATAGGGGGATGCAGCTACAAGTTTGCTTATTCAACTGTTTATCCAAGTGCCCTGCCTGCTTTGTAGTGCTGTCATTCTCTGGTGGCCTTCCTTCCCCACATTTCCCCTCTCTCTTGAGGCCTTACACTAAGACAATCAGTAGTCTTGCCATCTCTACATCTTGCTGATCTTCACTGCAAGAAGAGAGTGACAACAGCATCAACAGTGAATGGAGTGAGAGGTAGGCAGGTAGGCAGGCAGCCAACTGGTGGGTGGAAAGGATTTGGAGTCAAATAGAATGGTGAATCCAACAGCTTGAAGCAGATAGAAGAAGGGACTAACTTTGTTTTTATAATTACTGCAATTCATCGAGACAAATCTATACTAATAAAGAAGTGCCTCATCGGAAAGATCTTTCATGCAAGAGTGTCATGGGCATTTTTTTAGGGAATCTCCCATCGTTGATGAGCTATATTTAAAAAATGCTTTGAATAAATCCCCAAGTATTAGGTACGCATGGTATTCTGCAACAAAGTAGTGACAGAAGAAAGCATACACCCTTCTAAAGAGATACATCTATACTATTATATTCTGGAACAAATGTATGGCAGTTTTTTCAGGTTGTCATGGGAGCTACAGTCCTCCCAACCAGAAGTCCTCCCAAAGGAGTCCTCCCAATAGCACATTTTCTTAATCTTAAGAGAAGACGTCTAAGAAACGAAAATCAAGCCTTTCAAGGACAAATAAGTGCCAGACAAAAGAGTGAAGGCTGATTAAATGAAATAAAAAATCAAAGATCAGCACGGCTGGACTTCAATGCTGAAAGGACTGTAAGAGCAAAGCATAATGAGTTGCACATGTGGGTTCATCTCAAAACCTGTACAACATGGCCGAAGGAGGAAAAAATGCAAATGTCGTCTGCATGAAAGCCTTGCAATAACTTGAGCGCCTGCCGGATCACATAATCACATAGTAAACCCCTTCAGTTTGCGTAGCTTTGATAGGAGTCTTCCCACAAGAGTCCTCCCACAGGTGTCCTCCCAAAAGGAGTCCTCCCACAGGAGTCCTACCAGCAGAGTATAGATAAATGTCTGTCGGTGTGTCTGTCTGTGGTCAATCTACATTCCATATTGGATCCTTTGATTGCAAGCGAAGCTGCAATGGGTACAGCTAATGTTTTACATAACGGTAAAAGCAAAATAAAGGATCCTGTCTAGTGGGCAAAATAAATATGCACATTGTGGAAGTGGTTCTTCAATAACATTTTAAAAATTCTCTGATTGTTTTGTCAAACATCTCTGGAAATTTGAATTGATCACAGTGGGATATGCAGATTTATGCCATATTTATGCTGTGTGGATGCAAACTGTGGTGTGCAATAGTTTGCCTTGATATTACAAGGGTGCCAATTTTCAGTAGTTCCTAACAGGATTCCTTAATAAGTTTTGCATATGGGGATCCCATCTGGTAACCAGAATCATGTCACACCAATCTTGTGTCTCCTTTCTGACTCAATCTACTTCCAGAGCAGAGGTCAATGAACAGGATTCCTTATTAACCATGCAAATTAGATCCATTATTACACAGAAATGTGGGAAATATTGTGTCATACTAGTCGGGGGTAACTTATACCAGTTTAATAAAATTCATTAAAGCACCAATCGCATGAGCAGCATCTTTCTTGCATTACTGAAAAAGTAATAACTTTCATAAAATACTGTTTCATTTGTAGGCCGCAAATATGATAAATTTGGAAACTTGCAACAATGGTGGACCAATGCTTCAATCTCAAAGTTTGAGGAGAAAACCCAATGCATGATAAAGCAATATGACGACTACTACTGGCTAACAGCTGGTATGCATGTATGTATCACACTGAAGTACTGCAACACTGGTAGTGTCTTGCTTTGATTTGAAATGTTTGAAGGTGTATGGAGCTTAAATAAAGTGTTGGCAAGTTTTGGTACATTGCATACACCTGTTGTTTTTGTAATTGCTTCCTACCATGTTTTATATCATTATTTTACGGTAAGGATGATTCTCTAGGCAGTAATGTTATCACCTGGCTTTGCAGGTCAGTTGTAGAGTGACTCTGTGCTATTTGAAACCATTTTCCACTTGGCACACCCAGACTAGTAACCGTACTCATTGTTGGAATGGAAAATGTTTTGCCAATCAATGATTCCAAAATTGTTCTCCAAGTTAACATCCACAAGAAGAATTATAAAAATGCATCTAGTTTTCACCTGCACTTCTAGCAAAGTAATTCAGTTTATTAGTCACCAATAAATCTTGTGCGATACATAGTTCACTCCAACACAATTTCACTCAAGCTTTATCTTTTTCTAAATCATTGTTTTTTTGCAGTTCCAGATAGTATCTATTGCTCTTATATTTCTATCTAACACTTCCGAAATTTGAGAGGTTTAAAAAAATAAATTAAGCTTGAGCAAGACTACCATGGTTAATACTCTACCTGAACAAACCACTGTACATCCCGAGGTATCTTTTCCAATGCCATTAGCATGTTTCAGTGCTATTAAACTCCACTGTAAAGCTAGATTTTCTAAATTGGATAAGTGACTTTTTCCTCATTTTCACTAGTCCTTTGGGAAGACAGGGGAATAATAAAAGGATTGTGTTGGACATTTTTTTTAAAAACTCATAATAGGCACTATTTGTGGAGCTGGGCTGGGTTGGCTAAGTTTGCTTACTGGTGGTTCAATGCCTAACTTGGCAGGGCCACCAGTAGGATTTCCCGCAACATTAGCAGCCCACAATAATAAATTCCCAAAGCAGTTGAGGGTTTTGAGAAGATTTGTAAAGTAGGAAAACTTCCAAATTTGAAAAGCAATGATTGTGTCCCCAGTGATAGTTATGTGTGCCTCCTAACCTTACCAGCAATCTCCTGACCTTCTACAGAACTCTATAATAATAATCCTTGCATTTGACATAGCACCTTATCGTGTCTTTGAGACGTGTCAAAGCGCTTCACGGAATAGACTGTAAAGTGTATTGACTGTATATTTTGTGGACGGAAAATATACTTGCAATAGACTGTGCCAAAAAAGATTTGAGGAACCTAATTAAATTAAACTAAATTATTATTATTATTTGAGCTAAATTAAAAAAAATACACCCATTGCTCTCATAACACGCAGTAGCTGTAATAAATATAGATACTTTGTACTGCACTGATTCATGAGCCTTGACTGCAAAGTCAAAATATCCAGGTTTGAACTAACAATCTTATGACCCAGAGTCAAGGGAATTGAATTAAAAAAACGACCTTAATCTGACAAAATGTAGAACAGACTCTACTGAATGAATGGCATATCTATGTTCCTTTGATCCTAAGACTAAAATATTCTGCTGATGAAAAAGTAAGGCTTGCGATCCGGAAGATGTCATCAACAAAGTTAAAGCCCAAATTTCCACAATAATATGAAAGTTCTTGTAAAACAGTTTAAAAATGTCTTCTTTGGTTTGAAGAATGATATGCATATCATACAGGACCATCAAATTAAAGAGAGGTCCAAGATTCCCGGTACAGCTAAGGACTGTTCATACTAGTTTATGTTTCTGTGTCTTCCAGGTAAATGGGAAGATGACCTTAGGGGAGAACATTGCTGATAATGCTGGGATTCGACAATCTTTCAGGGTATAGTAAACCCGCTATATTTTGTGTTAGATTTTAAATGAAAAGTAAATTCTGTTTGATATGTTTAATAACATTTCCACTTAAGACTTATTGAAGAAAATGCATTTTCCTTTAGGCTTATAGGAAATGGATAAGAGAGAAGAGAGGAGGCAAGGAGGAGGATCTCCTTCCAGGAATAGGACTGAGCAACAATCAACTATTTTTTTTGAGCTACGCAAATGTGAGTAACCAGGCATTGGTTAGAGCACTCACCTCACAAGCGAGAGGATCTGGGTTCAATTCCCAGGCAGGGTGAAACATTAGGTAAGTTTCCTTACTCCACATGCCTTACTTACTGCAGTAAGTAAGAACCCGGTTGAGAGTCGATTGGCAAATCGCTTTTTCGAGAGTAATAATCGCTTCAAAAAAATTAACTAAAAAAAAAAAAATTGGTCACACAATCCACAACTGTGTGTGGGACACTGTTGTGCCAATTGGCTGCCACCTATTGCCCAGAAAATATGCAGTCAATTCACTTTACAGTATATTCTGTGAAGCGCTTTGAGACGTTGCAAAGACATGATAAGGCACTGTGTTAAATGCAAAGATTATTATTATTGTTTTTTCTTGTGTGGAACAGATATCTTGTGTGTGCAGACCAAAACTGCTCAAATCTGGTTTATGGTGTGTTCAATGCATTGAAGGAAATGTTGCTCTGTTTATTTCCATCGTAATTTTCTGTGTCCTGGCACCATTTCACTGATGTGATCAGCACAAAGCAAGCAGTTGTCTGGAGGGTTACCTACCGTCTGATTTACTGGGACGTGCTATAACTGCTGTTCTGAAAAACATTTCAGCTTGGGAACTTTAGAGTTCTTAAACAATCTGATCTCAGACCTGTATACTAATTTATATAACTTGCATTTAAGCAAATTCATTTATTTATTTTGTGTTGTAGGTTAGATGCGATAACTATAGACCAGAAGCTGCCAGGATTCAAATTTTGAATGGTGTTCACAGTCCTTCTGAATTTAGGTAAGTTTCAGCCCTCTTATGGTATTGTATTTTATACAAAAAATGTATGAATAACTGACTCAATTTGTTCAAAAATATACCATTTCACCTCATATACCATTTCATATGTGCTCAGCTAATGTTTCCCAAATTGAAATTAAAAGTTCTTTAGAAATTGCTTTAGCACTTTCAAATCAGTAATTGCACGTATGTTAACATTGCTTCACACAAGGCGAATTAATTGCTTTTATCTTTAGGACAATTGGAGCAATGAGTAACTTTGAAGAATTCAGCAAAGCTTTCAACTGTCCAGAGACATCAGTAATGAATCGAGGATCAAACGCATGTCGAGTGTGGTAGAGGTTCTCATGAAGGCTGTTTCTTAGACACTGCTTTTGAAACAATGCATAAATATTTATGTATTGCTTTTTAATTTCAATATAATTAAATAATCCCTAGATCTATATTCTGGTGAAATATATAGGGGTTTAATGTACGCAATTATGTACTGTGATTTGCAACGGGATTCCTTAATAATGGATGCAATCCCTGTATCTGCTATCACCCAATTTACATTCAGAGCGGATTACTTGTGATCCGTGTGATATACTTCAATTGCCGGAAGGAGTGGCAACTTGGATTCATTATTAAAGAATTGTGATTGCCTGATAGATCCCAATGTTGTTGTTTATTCTCGTTTATTTTAGGACTGCAGTGTCTCACTTCTTAACATTATTAATCTGTGGTCTAATTTATGCGAACCTTAGAGTATAGGAGTCATTGAACGTGATCTAGCGCTGCCATTCAAGCATAGTTGTTACTTTCAAATCTATTCCAAAAATCCATCTCAAAAGCTGTAAAACACATTAAATGAAGAATGAAGGTCATTATGAATGCGTTAAAACTCCTAATGTCAAAAAAGACATGGTCGTGAAATTTGCTGTTTCTTAAGAGAAACAAATGAATTGTTACACTGAATGATTGGCACAATGATGTTGGGAGAACACTTTATCTCAATCTGAATTAACACATTGAGACTCCAGCATGACATTGACATCTGTGGATTTGTTAAGATCTCTAGGTCTGGTGCTTTCTGGATTTTTTTATATAATAAAAATTCTGTAGACAAACTGAACCACTTGAAAGCGTGCCCTGTTGTAGCTGCAATAGTTTCATATTTTTGTCACGAGTTAAAATGGTTACATGATTATAATAATAAAAATAATAATAATCCTAACATTTGGTATAGCACCTTTCATGTCAGGAGGATGCCTCAAGGCACTTCACAGGATTTACTTTAAAGTGGTGTGACGTGTGTTTTTGTGGATGAAAGTAGTTTATTGGGCAACAGCACATTATTGTTTTATTTTTATATCTTCATGAAATGGTTATTTCTGAGACTTACTGAAAATACACGTTGGGGTCTAAAACATGGTGATTTCTAACAGTCAGGGCTCCTTTTGTACATCACATTGACCCATGTCATGGGAATCCTCTTCTGATTTTTCAAGGAAACACAAATTGTTGCTATTTGAAATTGAGCTATTCTATGAATGATTTAATGATGGTGTTTTAAATTGTCATTTAGAAATATAAGTGATATCTTATCCTCACTTGACATTTTTACTCTGGATTCTAACGCATTCTATACCAAATAAAATCTTTTTGAAATAAGCAAACGCCTGTTCAAATATTATTCTGTTAATACTGTCTGATTCACAAACCAAAAAAAAAAATGGTCTAAAAGGGATAATAATAAAAATAATACTTGGGTTTGATTGATATAGCGCCTTATCATGTTATTGAGACGACTCAAAGCGCTTCACAGAATATACTGTAAAATGTACTGACTGTATATTATGTGGATGAAACGCAGCAGCCAATTGCACACATTGACGTCATGGATTGAGTGACCAAATCATTATTTTTGATTTGAGGGACTATTACCCCCAGAAAGCGATCCACCAATCGAATAACAACCGGTTCCTACTTACTGCTAGGTAAATAGAGATTTAATTTAAAGAGTTAGATTCGGTGGTGCAGTCAGGAGTTAGCAGCACAATGAAAGCATGAGATTCAGAGTCTGAGATGAGAGACCACATGGGCCTGGCATTCAGAATCCCTAACTACCTGACCCTCCTCCCATTACAGCTCAAGTTAATTCTTAAGCGAGTCCAGTGTCTCGGACACTCTTCGTGGTAACCATTTCCAGTTCTTTATTTTTAGTTTGCCAGGTGTCTGACACATGTGAAACCCATCCGAGTGGTTCAGAGTATCAAAACTGGTCAGTTTCACATATGCATGGCATCTATGCATAGAAATCTGCCTTTATTGGGAATGGTGTGTGCACACTTTCCCTGGAGGGAGGCAGGCTCCTTATTTAATCCTGGAGAGTACTAGGTATAGGTTGGCAAGAGCCAAGGTTTGGGAACCCACAATACGCATTAGGATAATGCTGGAGTTTAATCAGGTAAAGCAGCTTAACTCAACATTGTGAGCACTTTCTGGAAAGCATCCCAAATGGGAAGATTCACTGCTCTTCCCCTCTTCCCCCCCCCCCCCCCCCCCCCCACACACACACACATGCACACGCACGAGGGACTGGTCTGCTTCATCCTGCCAATAAGCTAGACTGAGTGTCAGCATTCATTAAGAATGAATTTTTCTTGAATTTTAGATCAAAGGAGTTCTGGGAGCCACTTTCCCCCCTATTCTACTTTAATGATAAACCATGGGAAATATTGGGTTTCAGGCTTGTGGGGGGTGGGGAGAGAGAATGTTTCCCTGCCATTTAGATTTGGATCATAGAGTGATTGCTAGAAAACACAGAAAATCATGCACAATGTTTTGGGGAGACATTTGAAAAACAGTGGAAAATAATGGAGGAAGAACATTGATTTTCTGCATCACAATGGTTCGTCAAAATGTTATGATGAATGTACAATATATTTTCCACTGATTTTCAAATGTCCCCAAAAGGATTCTTATTATTATTCAATTCATATTTTCACAATTTCCATATTTCTATATTCTGCAGCTGTTGGTCCTGATCCACATGGTGCAGTTAAACAATAATAATTTGGAACCCTTTATTAAGATTAAGCAATTTAAGTTCCTGACCGGGAGTAATTGGTCATAAATACAGGGCTCCAAATTGTTATTGTTTAACTACATCTAATAGTTTCTGACCAACTTTCTGATTCAGAGGCGAGAGCACTGAGTAGAAGGTTGGTCAGAAGCAGTAAAAGTTGTATAACTGAGTCTGACTGATATACACATTTGATATCTATATGAATATCTGTTTGATAGGCTGAACTCATTACAGACATTGATGCAGAGCCAATAGAGTGTAATCACTTTTGCTACTGATGCTGGTCATTATGCTTGTTGTTGTGTCATCAGGAAATGCCACCAGTCACCTATTTTGTCATGTGAAAAGTTATACTGTTCCTAGATTGCAGGTTTGAACCAATATTTAAATGACCACTATCTGATATATTTCCCAGGCTTAATAAACATGTTAATCATTCCATTGTGCTATTTGGTGCTGCAGATCTGTGTTTGCATTCGAATGATCCAACCTCATTTCACATTCATAAAAGACCACAAGAGATTTTCTACAAGATACAAGTTGGTCAGGTACAAGGTTTCTGCTTGTTTTAGAGGAGCAGAGAGGTTGAAATAAGAGTTTATTTGAAGAAATTTGGTTAACTTATTACACAATGCATTATCAATTATTAGCATCTTATCAGCAATATTACTAAACCTAGACAATTGCAAAAAGTGAGATTTTCTTGGAGAAAAGTGACTTACAAAATTTGGCTGGATGAATGGAGCTGTTTTATGTTTTTAAGACTGAGATGTACAGAATGGGACTGCATTACACACATCGGTTAATTATTATCATTGGGAATAAGCAAATGAAGTCATCAGAACGATTTACAAAATCTTGTTCCGCGTCTCACAAAGTAGTATTTTGTCATTCTTTTTTGAGTGTGAAAAAGGTAATTTGTAAATTCTAATGTGGACCACTAGAGAGCACACTTCACACTGAAGTGTTGATGCCACTGTCTTCAACATCTCCCATTCAAAGGCCATTCTAGCGTGCTTTACATGGGAAATACGATCAATCCCTATTTTTGCCATGTGACAAATTATGCTGTCCTGATTTAAATGATCTCTATCTGGCCCATCCCCCGGGCAAATAAACATGTAAACCAGACCACTGGTTGTCCAAACGCATTTCACAATTAGCATTCACAGCAGGCAGAGAAAGGATTACAGTGGAATAACATTAATCTCTGGTCAGAGAGAATCAACTTGCTTTTTTTTTACTGCACTTTATCAAATCAAAATGCTTCACAAATAATTACTATCAAGTAAAGCGACTGCACACAATCACAGTTGCCATTTGCATTGTTCGATAAACAACCACAAGGTGATCGATGTGAAGAATTGATGTAGAGGACAAAACTACTGTATCCTTTTTTTTAAAATGGGGATCTTAAACATCCACCTCAACACTTCTGACAGACATTTCTGATAATAATCCAAGTGCTGCACTGAGATGTCATAAGATCACAAGATTGGTTTGATTGAAGAAGGCCCTTTGGCCCATCTGATTTCATCCTGCCAGATCTCATACTCACCCTATTGTCCTCCAATCGTAACAACTTAGACCTTAACCTAAAGCATCAACCTGATGCTTGAACTCACAATCTTCTGGCCCAGAGGCAAGAGTGCTACCCATTGAGCAGAAAGAGAATGTAAATGTGCAGAAATTCCACAGCACCATTGGCAACAGTTTTACTGTCTATTGCACTTTTGAAAATATATATATATATAGCAAATTTATAAAATATGAGTTTCTTTTACTGCAATGATTTAGATTGGGTTTACTTGCAATGAATCATAAGGAGACCTGAATTCCTCAACATTCTCAGGTGATGATTGCACTTTTCGTCAGCAACACCCAAATCAACATCATTCACAGTCAGATATGACCACGCCTTGCGGTATCCAATATTTTCCCTCTCAGTGTTTTCACACAATAACTTATTTACACTTGGACCAGCTGTACATTGCCCACCCTCCCCTCTCCCACTATTTGTGGACAAGCTTTTAGCAACTTTGCCCCCACTCACTCAAAATACCTCTGTTGTGCACTCTCCCCTCCCTTTCTGGTTTCAAAGCTCTTCTTAAAAAAAACTCCCTCATTAGCCTTTGCTCATCTCTCCCCTACTCTCTCTCAATCTTACTTGGGCTCTCACTCAGTTTCTGTGAAACTCTTTTGAAACATTTTATGAGCTACATAAGTGAAAGGTGCTATTGTTGCTTTTTAACCGGGAACAACATATTTAAAATTAGAACGTTTTAGTACTTTACGGAAACTTCTGCAATGGATAGCATGAATGGAATATGCTCCCTCTCATGTCACGGCTAATTTAAATCACTGTGTAAAATAAGGCCAGAAAAGGCTGAGAGACAATCGGCATCTGAAAGTCAAAGATCCTTTAATGGGATGAGTCTCATCCTCAGAATCCCACCACATGCCACTGTGCAGCCTTCACCATCTGATGTCCTGGCCAACAGTCCCGCAAATAAAATAAAACTGGTTGCTCAATCCGTGGCTGTTTGTGGGAGACTGCTGTGTGCAAATTGGCTGCTGCGTCCGTTCACAAATATAAGTTATGCCACTTTGTGATATAACCTGTGAAGCGCTTTGAGACATCTTGACCACGTGATCAGGTGCTACATCAAATGCATGGATTATTATATTACATAAACCAGTGCTTGCAGATATGTGTCCCCACTGCCGACCACATAATCACAAGAGGTTTGAATGCCGAACACCTTTCAGTTCATTTGATCTGATCCACCATAATTGAAATGATAGTGCCTATGACAAACTGCGAGATGGCGGCTCCCAGATGCTGTACGTGTAGGTTTGGATAACTATTGGAAGCTAACAACAGATAGCCATTTGCAACAACAACAATAACTTGCATTCATATAGCGCCCTTCACGTAGGGTTGCTTCTTGGGGCACTTAATTTGCAAATATAGACCAAAGAAGAGAATTGATTCAGGTATGTTCTGTTCACCTAGTTTAATCTTGGCTGTTATCTCTCCGTCATAGCTATTTATTCAGCACTCTGAGACGCCTTCCGGCGTGGAGGGCACTATATAAATCCAAGTTGTTGTTGTTGTAGCTATTATCTATTCTGGGGTATTTTCATTCTCTGATTATTTCCTAACCACTCTCTCTCTCGCTCTCTCTCTTGCCCGCCTTCAGTTCTTTGTTACCACAATTGACAGTGGTAACAAGGAAGCAAACGGCTGGTTTTAAAAAGAAATTATGGCACAGAGCTTGGTCATTAAGTAACAAATCATTTTGTCACAAGCCCCTGGAAGCTCTGACAAGCTGTGCCATAAACATGTTGGCTGGAGGCAGGTTTGTGAGGTGATTCCAAGCTTAGCTGTGGTATTATGGGCAGGTGCCAAACAAGGGTGAGTGACCAGTTATAGAAAGGCATTGGTGTAAGACTGGCAGCGGCCTGCAGTGTATTTGCTTTACCAGGAAAGGCTGTTCCACACAGAGGCTTCAGGTGGGGCTGAGAAGACAGAAAAATAGTATATATAATAATATATAATTCTTGCATTTGATATAGCGCCTTACT